GGGGGGGAGTGAAGTAGTGCAGTTGCAACTCCTTTGATTCCTATTCTGCTCAAAGTTTAAAACCAAGTGTCTGGCAGTGGCAGTAGCTGTTCTATTCAGGCAGCAGTGATAGAGTCAATGGCTTCAAAATTCATTATAATCTACCTGATTCCCTTCAAATTCTTCTTCAACAGGTGTTAATGATTCGCTCTCTTTTCATGGTCTCTAACCCTTCCACTAATCAAGCTAACCTTTCTTCTATAATTTTTCTGTTTGTCACCTATAGCTCCTATTTCACAGCCCTGCAGACTGCTTTGAACTCTAGCTAGAAACATTAACTCAGGTGTGGAAATAACTCAGTGAAACATTGGAAGCACTGTCAATATGCTCCGCAAGGCTAGATTTTGTTTTATGAATCTGAAAAAGAGATATATGTTTAATTCTAATGACTCTCAGACTAACCAAACAACATATTTTGATAATTTTGCCTAGTTTGTTGTGCTTTTATATATAGGACATAGCAAATTAATGCATATTCCAATAAAGTTTTTTCTTTTGCTTCACTCTTAAACTAAATAATATACCCCTGGGCTGCCAGCATATTAGTAATGCTTTTATTTTTTTTTAACTGGAAAAAATATGTATTGTTATATGTGCTGATGCACCTCACCATCTGCATCCCCTTTTTCAAAATCTTAGTCCTGCCCATGATCGCCGTATTAGTATTTGGTCTGTATCCATCTCTATAGGAAATAAACCCTACACTTATAACAAAATCTGAGAAGCATATAATACATAACTTACATAACTGTGGTATATTTCAAACAGTAAAATATAAGCAAAATGGCATACTGTGTGCTTTTTGCCTTCTTCATTAAAGCATACAAATAAATAGTAAGTTAAAAAGGAAAAAATGGGACCTAAAGAGATAGCAAATCTTCGCTTAAAAATACTGCGGAAGAATCTTGGACATACTATATTAGACAAGACAATGGTAATTTTGTGATTCTTTTAAGATGAAAGATGTAATATATTTGTTTATTTAATAATTAGTTTAATAAAAATGTATTTGAATTTCATAACTTTTTGGCTTTGTATATTTTAGAATATGGCACATTTTAAAATTCTCCCTTTGCAAAGCCAAACACTTGAAGTTTGGTATATTACTGGGATTCTTAATTGCAAGACTTCCTTATCAACATACAAGAAGCACTAATCCCTATAAAACTGTGCATACAGGTATGTAGGAAGTTAGGTGCTAAATAGGGGACTGGAAAGATATTTAAAGAAAAGCCACTTCTTTGTGTATGACTGAGAAGTAGTTTTGCTGTTGGACTGAAGAATTCTCAAAACAGGAAAGTAAGTGTTTTTCTTCTTACTCATGAGGGAAGGATTTAATGATTCTGGTGATTTCTTCCTGAGCTGCTTTTGATGAATTCTCAAAATAGGAAAGTAAGTGTTTTTGTTCTTACTCACGAGGGAAGGATTTAATGATTGTGGTGATTTCTTCCTAAGCTGCTTTTGGTGACAGGAACACTGAAAAATACCTGTTCATTTTTTACTAATTTTTGCTTTATATGACTCTTATTCACCTACAAAAACTGGGCTTGTTTCTTTTTGTATTTGACTTTGTTTTACAGTAAGACAATGCAACTCCATACGGCTGCAGAGGTCTGTGTTACTGAGGCTCAGCGTTGAACTTCAGCTTGAAATTGCCCCAAGATCCTTTTCTGCATGCATAAGAAAGAATCTAGTAGATCTTTATAGTTAAGGAGCATGGCTGGAACTCAGAAAATTTAAGGATCAGCTCTAGGATTTACTGGAGGCTCCTATGTGACCTCAAGCAAGTCACGTAAGGAGGAATTTTCAACTGAGTCTAAATACTATCAAAGATCTCAAGTGGGTTGGTTTGGGGTTTTTTTGGCAGCCAAGCAAATAGTCGATATTTTTCAGTAATCACAAAAACAGAATATTATTTCTATAAAAGAACAGAGAAAAATTTATAATGATTTTCTGCCAGACTGGTTTCATTAATGCATATTGGAAATACATCTGAATTAAATAAATTAATTCCTAACTGACCTGTTCCTTGTAAAGATTAGTTTTACGATGTTTTTGACAGTTTACTATATCACTGTATTCAAAGCTACAGAAATAATTTAGGGGTCATGAAAGCATTCTTGTGAATGTTGTT